TCTCGGTGTAGGTGGGAGAGGCAGGGTGTGGGGTTCAGGTGGTTTTGGAAGCCAGGACGGACCTTGCCAGGGTGAGAAAGTCAGGCTGTGTAGAGTGTGGGCTAACAGATGACTTTTTTCTCACCAAGGTGGGGAAGGAAGGGAAGAGGGAACAACCCAGCAGCTCAGAGCTGCTACAGGGTATAGCTGCCCTGCTGGGAGCCGGTTAGCCTCACGGGATGCCCTGTCCACTTTTCAAAGATGAGCTCTTGATATTCTCGCCCACAGACAAAGCTCAGTATTTCTTCTCAACCTGTGCCTCTAGTGGCTGCCCTTCCTCTTTGAATTTTCCTCTTTACTTCTCTTTAAAAAGAGTTTTTCCCAAAGACAGACTGTAGCAGCCCCACTGAGTCCCACCGAATGTTCAAATGACCAAGACTAGAAGCAGAAGGGTTTGATTTTATTTTGTTTTCTTTATTTGCCAAAAATGACCTGGAATAATGAGAGCCTTTGCTTGTCATTGCCCGTAGACCTCTCTCACTTCATGCACCAAGACTGACACTCTTGTATGTCGGCCCAACCTTGTATTCCTGAACAGTCCACACGGCAGCTCAGCCAGGTGAGTGGGAATTTAAGTCCCATTTACAGTTGTCTTCATTTAGGGTCCAGGGACCCACAGGGCAGCACCATCTGCTAGGTAGCAGCAGTTGTGTGTAAGAGGAGGACAGTGTAAATTCCTCGCCTGTCAGTCACCAGGAGAGGTTCTAACCAAATAAGTCACTGAAAGGAGAAAACCTGGCTTGGCCAGTCATTCTGTAAAACCAGGGGCAAAAAGAGCTGTCATACTGCTAGATTAAAAAAAAAAATGAAAGAAAACTATTGAAAAATCCTCTGCATAGTTTCTTTACTGTTTCAAAATGTAGACATTTATTTCTTCTTTAACCAAAATGGAAGGGAGTGGGGATTATAGCATTGCCTAGCATATGTGAGGCATCTATCTCCAGTGCTACAAATAATAAAAAGATTTGTTTATTGCCCCAAACAGGAGTTCTGATGATATGACATTTTACTATAATAGTACTGGACTGTTTTTTTTTTTTTTAGAACAATGTTTTAGATTTTATGTGTTTGACAAATTTTAAAAGAGATAACAGATTCATAGAGTTAAGAAATTAATGCTTTTTTTTTTTCAAGTAACAGTGTTGAGTTTTGGGGTTTTTGAAGAGCTCTCTCTCTGTTCTGTATTGAAACAAGGCTACAAATAAGGACATGAGGGAAGGGTCACATGCAAATGAGGGTGGTTTTGTGATTTTTTTTTTTTTCAACAGGGACACCCCTGTTTGCCATTTGCTCTTGGCTCTTTCTCAACAGCCACCATCTCTGTACTGCTGTCATCTGCAGTGTGGGCCTTCCTAGCCCTGGCCCTTTGCAGCTGTTGCCAGCTGTTCAGTCACGGCCACCAGCCCACTCACTGGCCAGTACATCAGTGTAGAGGGGTCAGAGGCCTTTGTAGCAGTGGTCTGGTCCTGCGCTCCCCCTCCTCAGCTAGCCAGGTTTCAATGAGCTGAGATTTAAAGGGAATCATAGTACTCTCTCTCTGGCACCAATTCAAGCCCATAGGAACTTGCTCGAAGTCTGTTCCACAAGAAAATGCTATTAAAAGATATTTTGAACTAAAAAGACACTTTTTTTTTTTTGATGCCAGCATAGTTTAAAGATGTCCTTTCTCCACAGTTCCTTTGGGCAGGGACTGTCACACATGGACAGGTCACGAGGGGGCGGCTGGATGCTTACTAGATCAGAGATGATGTCCAAGGTCTGGTGAGCCAGGCCAAGGCATGACTGCTGGTTCCCACCTTGCATCTGCCCTTTGCCTGGCTGGGACTACCCAGGATCCCCAGCCCTGTGCAGCCCAAGGAAGCCCACTGGCTCAGGCCTGGCCCCCACGACTGCTCCTGCTCCCTTCCGTCTGCACTGTTGTGGATGAGCAGGAAAACTTTTAAGTGTGCTTTGGAGCTGTGGCTTCTGCCTGTTCACAGCACAGTATAACTAGAACCTTGTAGATGAGGATTGTATGTACATTTCTGATTTACACAGGAGCAACCACACTCATTTTTAAAACATTTATAAAGACACCTTTAATTTTCTGATCTTCCTGGTTTCAGAGCTTTTGTCTGGATCGTTGCTGATGTTTCAACAGGCTCACTATAGCCCTTTCCTGGCAGACTTCTAACATTAGTTAACTTTTGTCCTTCAGTCATCATTTTATTAAATTTTTTATGTATTAAAAATAGGTCTTCTATCTCCAGGTGTTTAGTATAAAATAGAGTATGGATAATTATTTTTACCCCAAAGCTCAGCATAACAGTCCAGTAACTTCTACAAAATATCTCCTTGTGGATACCCTGAGTGCTCTCTTACTCTTCATTCATTCATTCATTCATTCATTCATTCATTCATTCATTCATTCAGCAGTTTTCATCCATGTTTACTGATGGACCCAGTTACTGTGTCTGTGTCTCTGGGAGTTTCTGAGCTCCTCCTACTTCGAGCTGAAGAAAGCAGACAGGTCACTTCCAGCTCTTTTCCTTACTGTTCCACCTCTCAGGTTGGGTATGGACCCTCCCCCCCCAGCACACTGGGAAGCCTGAGGCATTTTTCTCTTGGGCAGCTCAGCATGAACATGGCTTCAGCGGGAGCTGCAGCTGATGTTAGCACCATCTACCCCTCTACAAGCTGCCTAGCAGAAACGCTACAGAGTGCAACCGTTTACAGAGTATCGAGAAAAATAGCTCCAGCTCTAATTACTGCACAAATCCCATGCCATGCCGATTTTCACCAAATAGTTATATCAATTATAACAGTGCTATAATACTATTAACATTCATTAGGCAACTAAATTGTGTCACGCACTGTGCTAAAGGCTAAAAACACCCTTTTCATTAATCCTCACGCTCTTAGCATCCCTTCCCCCCCACTGTGTCCTCCACACCAAACTGCCATCATCTCCAGATCTTCATGAGTTTGGCTGTTCCTTGTTTGGAAAAAAAAAAAAAGATAATAACCCAGCTGGGCTTGTTGACTGCTGATGGTTCCTCACAGAAGGGGGGATGGGAAGGGCCACAGGGGGACAACCACCTCAGTATCTAGATGTTCCTACCAACCAGTCTCACGCGATCCTTCCCTAATTGCATGTGACGTCAGGTAGGGACTAGAGTAGATAGGTTGGGAGGGACTTGGGAGAGAGTTCCATCTACTTGGCCATTGGTGGGGCATAATTCATAATGGACAGAGATATTGCAGGGTGGCTGATTTAACGGCACTCACGTTCCTGCCCATGCCGTTCACCCATTGCTCTGTAAGCGAGCCTGATAACCCCAATGGCTCTCCAGAGTGACGGTTGGTGGACTCGGAGCTCAATTTGTTTTGGGGACCTTGTCTCACCCAGGGAAGAATTTTAACAGCATTTCGATGCGGAAACTGGGCACTGCTATTAACACACAGGGTGCACATTCAGGGTTAGGCCCTCAAGGCCACGGCTGTGCTGTAGTTCTTTCAAGCATCAGCAGTAGCCCTAGCGGTCACAGCATGGCCCTACTAGCCCCCATCGCTTTTCTTAGGCACTTATCAAGTGGTTCCTAAAGCTGAAACTCCTGTCCTCAGAGGCATATGCCCAGGCTCTCCCCAGCCTCGATCGCTCTTCCTAGATTTTTTTTTTTTTTGTATAGAGTGGACTCCTAAAGACTGTCATCTGACTGGGAGTGGGGGATGGAGGAAGACAGGGGCCTGGGTTCTCACCTCCCCTCTGCTCCCCAGTTCTCCTGTATCTTTCCTGTTACTTTTACCATCTGACTGCAGAGAAGAGCCTCAGGTCTGGGTACCTTCTGTGGATAGAGGCAGTCAGTCTTTCCCTGGCATTTAGGTGTCTTGGCTTGCTTGGGGGAGGGGTGTGTGCGTCTAGAAGTCTTCCTTCAGCTGCTCCTGTTTGGAGGTAACTGCTCCCCAGCTCAGTGCCCAAGGCTGTGCTGTCTTTTTAAGGGCACTGTTTACCAAGGTTCTGAGGCAATTTCTGTAGGAGTGCTCCAAAGCTTGCTCTGTCAAAGATAAATGTTTCCTACTGAGCATTTTTTTGGCTTGCGTTTTTGCCCAAGGCCTTTTCGCTCTGTCTTCATAGTTAGTCCACAGAGAGCCCGAGAGAGCATTAAAGATCCACTTCACTAATTCATAGCCAATTAGGAAACTTTGTTTTGAATCTGACTGGAAGATTGCTTTGGCAGTGGACAGAGCCCTCCTGTCCTGCACTCCAGGGGATTAAAACTCTTCCCTCCAGTTTGTTAGGAAACATGTTTGAATTACATGGTAAAAAACAGCCCTCAGTTCAGCCTTGGCCCATGACAGCAGCACACACTCTGCTTTGTTGCTGGAGAAAGCGTTTGCTTTCTGCTCTAGAGTTTCTGGCACACATGGATGCTGTGTTAGGCTGTGCAGCTGAGAGAGGGCATTATTTTCTTCTTTGGTGATTTGTCCAAATTTGAATTGTGATCTGATTGTCCCCTCCCCCCCTCAGGGTTTCGTCTCAATTTCATCCAAATTTTGTTATGAAAAAGACTATTCTGATAGTTTACTGAGACCATAGGCTCCTGAATGAGGAGCCCTAGGTTGCCGCAGTTTTATTTTCTTTTAAAGAAAGTGCTTTTGAATTGTAGCAGAATGTAAACTAGCTAGCTTTGGAGCTGCATTTTAAAAAGTCTCAGCACAGCAAAAGTTTAGTCCTGAGAGGAATCTACAACTCTCAGACTGTGAGGTTGTAGAGGTGTGCCTACTCTTTGCTTTTCAATGTGGGAAAACTTGAGCCTGCAGGTCGAAGACCCTCCTCCCTTAATCACAAAGTTCATTGCTTCTAAAAGGTTGTCTTGTTAAGTCTAATTTCATTTCTGTGGGTCAGTAGTTGGACAGCATGCTTGAAAACAAAACAGAATGAACCCTAAGTTCCCTAGGCTTTCTTTATTGGCTTCTCATACCTGGTTCAATGTCAAGGGAGTAGCTGTCGATTTCCAGATCCAGCTGTTGTTGAGCAGCTGTGGACCGGAGCTCCTCCAGGACACCGCGCACGGCCTGTGTGAGGTTGTACGGCACTGCCTTGGCAAACCGCACTTTGCTGTTTACGATTACACTCCCATTCCTGAAGCTCAGTATTTCCAGTTGCTTAAACCCTGTAAGATTGGATTGCAGGTACGGAACCAGCTGCAAAAGAAAAATAATAGTTTATTCCTAACTCAGCCACTGCTGGTTCTCTTATGCTCATGTTTCCCTCTCTGAGGCCTACATGTCACTTCTGCACTGTTTTTGTTGTTGGTTGTGAGACCGAAACACCACAACCTAATTATCTATTTGTAATAATTATGTTCATATTTCCACCTTTCTGCCTGCATTGAGATAGACAGGCAGGGATTTCTTCGTGCCTTGTGAGAACAGATGCTTTTAAAAAATCCGAGCCAGTCCTGAGAGCCAAAGAATGCCACATTGTTATTTTATTTATTTATTTATTTTTATTACTTACACTTTATTCATTTTGTATCCCCCCATAAGCCCCTCCCTCCTCCCCTCCCGATCCCACCCTCTCTCCCTTTTCTGCATGCATGCCACTCCCCAAGTCCACTGATAGGGTAGGTTCTCCTCTCCTTTCTGATCTTAGTCTATCAGTTCTCATCAAAAGTGGCTGCATTGTCCTCTACTGTGGCCTGGTAAGGCTGCTCCTCCCTCAGGGGGAGGTGATCAACGAGCAGGCCAATCAGATTATGTCAGAAGCAGTCCCTCTTCCCATTACTATGTAACCCACTTGGACACTGAACTGCCATGGGCTCCACCTGTGCAGGGGTTCTAGGTTATCTCCATGAATAGTCCTTGGTTGGAGTATGAGTCTCTGGGAAGTTCCTTGTGTTCAAATTATCTTGTTCTGTTGCTTTCCTTGTGGAGTTCCTGTCCCCTCCAGTTCTATTTCCCACTTCTTACATAAAATTCCATTCACTCTGCCCATCAGTTGTCCATCAGGCTTAGCATCTGCTTTGACAGTCTATACTGCAGAGGCTTTCAGAGGCCCTCTGTGGCAGGTTCCAAGGTTGTTTCCTGTCACATTGTTATTTTTTTAAAAGTGACTATGCCAAACTGGGTCCAGGAGCCAACCCACCTGCATTTGTGTAAAAGAACGTTTTCAATTTGAAAAGAACCATTAAAATAAAAAAAAAACCCCAAACCTATTGTGTCTGATCAGTGTGCTAAATCTTAATAGCACGCAGAAGAGAAGAGTCCAAACCAGGACATTTGGGTAGGGCTGCTGAAGCTGGTCCTAACCAGCTGAGTGACCTTCATCAAGCAATACAATAACTGTGTGGGACTGCATGCTTATCTGAATTGTGTGTGGTGTGTGTGTGTGTGTGTGTGTGTGAGAGAGAGAGAGAGAGAGAGAGAGAGAGAGAGAGAGAGAGAAGGTGGTTTCCCTGGGATTCCTATCCAAACATAATTTAGTAATCTCAAAAACATCCTTATGGCATTATGTTTATTTCATGCTCCCATCTGTGAGCCACAGTCATCTTGAAGGTCATTGTCCAGAAATATTTGGAACTCATTTTCTGACTCTAGAAGTATTTGTGAACTACAGCTCTATAAATATGGGTGGCAAAAGGCTCAAGCTGTAAGCTTTGAGGCTTGCCTCAGACCCACTTGTTTTTCCTCTCCCACTCTTTGTCCCACTAGTATTTTGACTCTGACCTTGTTTCACAAGGTGTGTTGGTTAGTCCTGTGAACAGGGTGCAAACTAGAGTTGCCTGGGACACTGGAACCTCAGTTGAGCAATGGCCACCTTTAGATTGGCCCTTGGGCCTGCCTTTGTCATGGTTTATTGACTAATGTTTGACGTGGTGGGCATTAGCCCACTGTGGGCTCTACCACCCCTGGGCAGGTGGTCCTGGGTTATACAAGAAAGGGCAGAATAAGCCACGAGGAACAACCCCATAAGCAACATTTCTCAGTGGCTTCTGCTTCAAGTTTCTGTCTAGAGGTCCTGCCTTGGAGGCCCTCTCTGTTCTCTCTTCTCACAAGTGAAAACAGAGTGTAGCAACCACTCAGCCTTAACTTTACAAAGGAGGAAACGTTCTTAGGGGTGGCAGAGACACACGTGGGTGAAGTGTGGGTGTGCATCTGTCCATCGCTCAGGAAGAAATATGCCTGCATCTATTTTCACTGCACTTAATACCTTTGTTATGGCTAACCCTAGTGAAGACACTGGGGTGAGGCTCACTGCGATACCCTTTCTTAAGACAGTCCCAATACTCACCTCATGGTATGTGTATGTCTGTAGAGCAGAGAGTCTTACTTGAAAAAAAATATTCAAGCCATATGGTAATTTAACTTATACAAAGCATGTACATTTTCTGACATTGTCAGAAATCATGTGTGTTATACGCACCGTGCGATTTATTTAATCAGACGTGACTATTAAAGCCATCACAGGTTTCAGTATTTATTACTTACATGTATTTCTTATTGAACTTGTAGAAACATAATTAAAATGTGAGCCTGAGGGCGTCTGTTATCAAAATGTATCCACTGTGAAAAATGTTCTCATTTTATGGGAAGGATCAGAGATGACCAGTTGTACAGCCATTTACAACAACCTAAGAGAGTTTGAAAAGGGAGAGTTTGTAGCTGAGCTTTCCTGAGCAGTGTGGCTCTGTGCTCTCTTACAACTTGGGGAAATTCATTTATTCCAAGCTCACTTTTTCTGACCTGTATTATAGTGTTTCTGTATAAAATGTGAAAAAAAAATATTCATAGAGAACCATCATGAGGAGAACTTAAGGATAACCTTGTTTCCATGAAGCTGGTGTCAGTGTCCTCTCTGACTGGTCACCGTAGAACTCATTTCTCTGGTTGGGGCCAAATCACCTCAAGATTCTAGATCAATGCCTTCTGCAACAGCCCAGCTGCTTCAAATGCCCGCCTCCTCCTAACCTGCCTTGCGCAAGATGAGCAATGATTATACTATAATCCCAGAGCAAGAGCGGGAGAGCGGCAAGCCAGGCTCACTCACCAGGTCTGTGAATCGTTGTTCCAGGGCTTGATACTCCAGAGAACTCTTGTTGAACAGATCAGAGGAGAAAGGCATGTTAGCAACGCGCAGACTGAAGAATACCACCAGCTCATGGCCCTTGATGGCAACGGTCTCAGAGCTGGTGGTGATGTACTGGAATGATGGGATGGGTGTGGTCGTCTCCACAAAACGACCCGGGGCGGAACCGTATCCGCTCAGTCCTGATACTTCTGACAAGGCGGGAGTGTCAGACGCATCCATCTGGTCTCTGTCTCTGATTGTATCTCGGCTGCTTGTAATCAACTCGCTCTCACCGGAAGATGCGGGCCAGTGTGACATTTCTAGAGGCAGCTGGCTGATGGTAGAGTAATCACTGGTGGGGACAGTGATCCCGGGGATGGGTATTGTTTGGCCAGTGGTGATCAGGTGAGCGGAGCTTTGATCATCCGGAGAGAGGATGCTAGGTGTAAAGGAAGGTAGATTTTCTGAAACGAAAAATTCCACCCAAAGAGAAAATGAAAAAAAAAAAAAAATCAAAGTTAATCAACTTTAAGTAAGGATACAACATTTAAACTGTCAGTTTCAATCACCATTTTAAAAAAGGAGAATTGCTATAGAAAGGGCAAGAAATGCTGTATCCAAACGAGGGAGATAAAACATGGATCCCTGGACTCATTTTATCCAGACCCAACATTCTACATATATGAGATGAAAAGAGTATCAGTTAATTAGACTTTCTGGAATTACTGTGCAGGTAGACTTAGCACACCTGCAGATTAGATAAAACAGTGACCAGTCACTAGAATAGAGTTGGATACCAAACATCAGTTGGCATTGATGTAGATTTAAAAATCACACCCTCATCTGGAACCTTCAGACAACCTTCTGCAGTTTTGGTTCAGAGATTTTATTCAGTTCCTAATATTGCAAACCTGAATTTTGCACAATGAACTTTTTTGGATCCATTGATCTCATTTTGGTAGTCTTATGACCTAAAATTCTACTATGCTTTTTTGAGAACTGGATACTGATATTGAATACGTTGGCAATTTGCAAAATGGTCCTGGGGCTGTAAAGGTGTGGGTGATATATGCTTTGGGCTGTATATTGAACATGCTGTTTGGTAAGTATTCGATAATATTTCAAGCCTTTTCATTGCTTTCACATAGGACTGCTGAAGTCCATTCCATTTTTGGTACAAAATTAAAAACACGAAGTACTTATGAACCAAGACAGTAGTTATATGAACCTTTCATATAGAGAGATTGATGGATTATTAAAGTCGTCCAATAAACCTAAATCCAGAGCCACTGATTGCATTTAAGGGACTAGGTGAACAAGGCAGGCAATTTCTATGATTACTGCCAGTGGCATTTTGGCAAATCTGTGGGAAAGTTCTGCTGAAACCTGAATGCTAAGTATGATGAATGGTCTGTCTGAATGCAGACAGAATCTTTGGACTTGCAGCCAACTAATTCACCACGGTATGATCACCCAAACTGAAACTCCAAGTTATAAACAGATCTGAGAGGCAGAATTATATCAGCGTTATTACTTTCTTAAAATAAAACCTTTGTATTGGTGAGTTATGCTTGTGTTTCAGAGAAGAACACTCTTTTCTTGTCCCTGTCACAAAGTACCTAGGTGTGTCTAGCCATAATTCAGACAGCTGCCGGAAACAGTATTTGCTGATGTCTATGATCGCTGTGCATATAAACTTATATTTTTATTCAACCCTTCATTTCCTATGAGATGAGTGTTTGTATACTTCTCAAATTCATATGGGGGACCTCCCATCACGCAATGTAATAATATTTGGAGATGAGGCCACAGGGAGGTAGGTAGGCTGTGAGAGCGCCTGCCTTATGGGATGATATTGGTATTGGCACCCTCATCTGAAGAGACATGAGAGATATTCTGTTTTTGCAATGTGAGACTATACAAAGCATTCATGTGCAACCCAGGGGATGCTCTGTCACCAGGGACCCAGTTTGTCAGTAGTAGTTTGATCTTGTTATTTTTAAAATCTACAGTATTTATTCTCCTCTCATATATTATATCCTGACCACAGTTTTCCCTCCCTTCTTTCCTCCCAGTCCCTCCCTCGCAAGCCCCATCCATCCATTCCTTCTCTGTTTCTCTTCAGAAAAGGACAGGCCTCTCCTGGATATCAACCAAACATGGCATGTCAATTTGTAGTAAGACTAAGCACCTCTCCTTGTATTAAGGCTGGACACAGCAGCCCAGTATGAGGAAAAGGGGCCCAAAAGCAGGCGAAAGAGTTACAGACAGTCCTTGTTCTCACTGTCAGCAGCCCCACATGAAGACCAAGCTACACAACTATACTATATATGCTGAGGGCCTAGGTTAGTCTCATGCAGGCTCCCTGGTTGGTGGTTCAGTCTCTGTGAAACCTAATGGGTCCCAGTTAGTTGATTCTGTAAGTTTTCTTGTGGTGTCCTTGACCCCTCGGACTCCCCACAATCCTTCTTTTCCCTCTTCCACGGGATTCCCCGAGCTCTGCCTAAAGTTTGGCTGTGGGTCTCTTAATCTGTTTCCATCAGATTAGGTGCAGCCTCCTTAATGACGATGGGGCTAGGCACCAATCTAGATTTTGGACTTTTTAAAGATTGGAGCTGTAGAGTCACCATTTTGTCGCTTGATTCCATCAGCGCACAGTACTTTGTCATAGCTTGTGCTAAGGCATCTGTGCAAAGTATGAGCAAATTGAAAGTGTTGCAGCACTAGCTGGGATTTGGTCCGATTTCTTTGTGTGTGCACTTGAATCTGTGTTCCTGGGGTGTGCGCTCTGCTCTCCTACAGACGATAAAGGCCGGGAAACCGGAGGCATGAAACACCATGAAGGATGCCTTAAGTCTGCTCCTGGGACAGTGTTTCTTCCTTTGCTCCTTTTTCACTATATAGACTTTAAGCAGCTTAAAATAGGCGGTGCTTTATGCCGTCAGTCAGGGAATTTTGTACGTTTTTCCCTTTTGTGGCATCCTAAGGCTTGTTCTTTGCATCCACAGCAAACCTACGGGCAAGCACGGCGACTTAGGAGGCAGCGGATGAGATGCAGGGCTGCTTGCTAAGATACAGAACACCAATTGAAACACTCGTGTGCTAAAAAATTACTCTTTGCTTATGGGAAGTTCAAATTGGACTACAATATTTTATTTTTCTTTGGCAAATCTAGGAACACTTATTTAAATGTGCTTAAAGTTTCTCCTAATCTCAAAAATAAGAGAAAAAAAATCTTTTTTAAAAATAGTGCAAGACTGAATATACTGAGGCAATAGTCAGCTCCTCTGGGGGGAAAATGTATTAAAGCCTGTCATGACTTCTAATTAAAGTAATTACGCCTTTATCCAGTCTTTATGTAAAAATGAGACATGGCAGCAACACAGGCTACTCTACCGTTAAGTTTGAAATGCTGCTTCAGGAAGTCAAGTGCTAAAAGCCAAGGCCACCTATTTCATCAAGGAATATGAAAACTGAAAGTCTCAGAATAACTATGTTAGAGAGGGTGTGCGGGTCCTACAAGGTTGGAAAGCATTTGTGTGTGGTGGGCCGCTAGCATAAAGCCCAGATGCTAGGCAGAGAGGAAGGGGTTCTTTTCATTGCTTTCTAGGAGAGAAGTATGTTGAAAGTCAAGGCCAACAGTTAAAACAGTCCAACTCAAAGTGGATGAGCAGAAGGCAACTGAAGGGACAGAAGTCAACAGCTGAAGAGGCGGTTGGTAGGTGGAGCGTGGGGGCTGGGCAGCCATACTGATGATAGCCAGAAGAAGACAAAGGAGAAAGGAGCAGGTTGAAGAAGAGGCACAAGCGAAAGCCTGCTAGAGAGGATCACATCCATCCGGTTGGGCGTATGCCTCAAGCATTTGCCCATTTTATACCGAAACAGTCTAAGAAGATATTCTCTGACATCCCAAAGGATGTCTTCAGTTGCCACAACCAGCACATTCTTGATTTTGTGCGAAAGATACTTTTAAATTATAACCTTTTCTTATCTTATAGAAATAGAAAATGTGTGTCTTTCATTAATTCATTCTAACAACTGAATAGCTACAGTCTCCCATTTGCTAGTCCAGGTGCTCAGACACATCAATGAACAGAACAGCTGTCAGTCTCTGAGAGCTTACGACATACTGGTAGAAGCCAGAATAATAGTCTTCCAAGTAATGTATCAGCAGATACAGAGTGGCAGGTGGGGATAAATGCTCTGTAAATGAAACTAGTAAAAAAAGAGAAGTATGTTAGGAGGAAGAATGTCCCGTCCAAGGGACTGCTAGCTTGGGGACAGTGTGATCCCCGTCGAATGCTACACAGTCTGCTGGTCATGGTAACTGAAGAGATGATTCTTCTAGATGTCCTTTCTCAGGATTATTCAGGTAAAGTGAGGAAGTATCAATCCAAGAAAGAGGGGGAAACAGCTACTAAATAGGAGGCCAGGGGCAGCTTCTGGAAAATGGAGAAGGCAATTCTAAAGAGAGAGGGTCAAGACTGCGTGCAGGCTGTGGCTTACAGATCCCCACTGCTAAGCTTGCCTGTGTTTCTGAATTCCAGTCCAAAAAGGGTAATTATTTTTTCTTTTCTCTCTTTCTGCCTGTTCTTTAGACTCAGGCTAAAATACCAAGCATGCACACTCTGATATTTTAAAATTATTTCTCTGAAGAATATTCCCCCAGCTGCTTGTCATCCCGTGGTTTCTCTCCCAATTGCCAATAAAATGATCTGCAAGATGAGAGAGAGAGGGAGACAGAGAGAGAGAGAGAAAGAGAATTGGTTTTGTCTAGAGATAGATATAGGAAATGCAGATGTCATTAGCCCCTATGACAATGTGCAGAATTTTACAAAATAATTTTACAGCATCATTAGGAGATAACTGGCATGTGAAAAAAAAACTGTCTGCCTTTGTGTTTTATTTAATATGGCAAAAAATTGCTGGTGGATATATTCCACAGCAAACCTGGGGAGGAGGGGTCAGAGAACCCATTGAGGGACAGGCAGAGGGAGCTCTGAAGAAGTCCCATTGAGGGTGCTCCCCAAGGCTGAGAGAGTAGTGCTCTCTCCAGAAGGGAAAGAAGTCTCTGATACTTGCAACTAAGGACCCACATCATCTCGTGTATCTGGATGCTACATCGGAAATTGTAGCAGTAAGCACAGAGAAGGCTAAGCAGGAAAACAAAACAAACACCAGATGCAGGAAATCAGGAAGGAAGGCAAAAAGTTCACCTGTGGAGATAATCTGAATGCTAACTATTGCTTTAATGACAGCTGTATTATTTCCCAAAGGGTCGGTGGAGGAGGCTGAAGGAACACACCGAAAGAAACTGAAATCACCACCGACAGGAACAGAAAGTCAACAGAGGAGAAATGATTTCTTTAACTCGCGGGAGAGAGTGCCAGGAAGACGGCCGAGTTCAAAGGCAACCTTTTAATGTACGGGACCGCACAGGAAGCAGGCGCGGGATACCACACTT